ATTCTGTTTTTGTCCTATACACCTCTGGAACCAGTGTCTAATTTGCCATCTTTGCCACCTCTTCACTTATGTTCCTAGTGTCTCTTAACTAGTTCATCATTCTGAAACTCATTCAACAGGAGACTGGAGCTTGATAACTCCAGCTGGGGACAGTTGGCAGTCAGTTTCTCTTCCCAAGTCTATATTCCACAATGTCATATTGACAGCTCGAAATTGGCACAGAGTGGGTATTTGCATCAGAGAAATCAGCAAACACTACAAGTAAATATCTTTTATTTTCCTCCTGTGGAGAGCTGTTTGTTAAAAATACTTACCAGTAAAAGTACCAATACCTATTGCCTACATTTTTACCAAGCTGACTTTTGCAAGACACTGATTAAACTATGCCACTCTCCTGAATTAAACCTTTCAGTGGCACTCCACAGCCCATAAATAATACCTAAGATTCTTAATGGCATATAAGCCTTTTATCATCTATTCTCTTCCTCATATCCAGCTGCTCCCATCTTTCCTTAATCATAATTCATGCCTAGCACAAAAGGCACCAGGTAGTTGAATCAAGTCAAATTTGTTTCACATATGTACTTTCTTTGACCTATATATTATCTTTAAATCTTTTTTATCTTTAAATCTTTTAAGCTGTAAAAAAAACTTCTAAAACTTTTACTGTAACCTAATTCCATATTTCTGACTTCTTTTGAAATATTACAACATTGGGTCCTCTTTCATGCTTAGTATAACAACAATCTGCAGCAGCTGCTCCCTTTGAGAGGGACTTACATTACTACTTCATCCCATTCATTTGTTCAAATTGGGCATATACAACTACACCTAGTTTCTGTTACCTGTTACCTGATTGACCCCTGTTCAGATTGCACCATAAAGTCCTAAACCATGGCTCCTCATAGAACTTTCTCTCTCTCTCTCTCTCTCTCTCTCTCTCTCTCTCTCTCTCTCTCTCTCTCTCTCTCTCTCTCTCTCTCTCTCTCTCTCTCTCTGCATTGGCTGTCCTCATGATACTGCACACTCCCTGCACAGTCTTCTAAGGCAAAAACAGCAGAATAATGAACAGAAGTGGTAGTAGGCATCTGTGGGCTGTGGACCAAAGTCTCCATGTCAAAGCAATTTAAGTGTGAAAAATGACAGCAGAATCTGTCTCAGAATTTTGATACCTCAGGTTAGTTTAGTAAATATATACAGTCAGTCTGTTAACTCTCCAGTGAATCTTGAAATTTCTACCTTCTCAGCTGGCCAGGGAAGTAACAGTCAGAAGAAATTTCCTCATGTTGACCCAAATTTGGGGAGTTAGGCTTGTAAACAAGAGTCATTGTCTTAATATGAGAATAAACTTACTTTTTACTAAGTGCTGCCTGCTGTCTGTCTAGCATTGAGCTTAATGGTATAGGGGGGAAAAGCAGAACAGGACAGTTCTGCCTTTAGGATAGAACCACCTATCCTGTTAAGGATGCAAGAAAGTAAATATTTGAAATAATTAGAGAATAATGTAAAGTGGCATTGGAAAAGTGATTGTTTTGAATATAACCTAATGTCCACAGTATTGGGGTGGGCATCAAGGGATGGGTGAAAGAAGGGTAGAAGCTATTAAAGAAGACAGATCTTGCAGTGTGCCTTAACTGGCAAATAAATGAGGCAAGACCATTCCCTACAAGGGGTTCTAGAAGGAACTCAGAGAGAGCAGTGAATGAGCTGAGAAATCCTAAGAACACTGACTAAAGGAAAAAAGACAGAGGAGGTCATGACTGATCACTGAAGAGCAGTATTTTAAGCAGATTTCCTTTGTGGTGTTAAGTACTCAGAAAACTAAATGAAGGAACAGAGCTCTCCTTGTTGGACAATGTATGTATACAGCTCTGGAAAGCATTTCACATTCTAGATGTAGATAGCAACCTTTTGGCTCTATGACACAAGTAAAGCTAAGTAACATTCATGGGTATTTCTGCATGTCTTGGACATGTCTGGTGGCATGGACATAAAAGAAAATAAGGAAAGAAGAAAGAAAAGTAGAAAAGGGAAGTGAGAGGAGAGAGAGAGAGAGAGAGAGAGAGAGAGAGAGAGAGAGAGAGAGAGAGAGACAAAGGAAGAGCAGCATGGTAGAGAGCAGACAGTACCTCCAGTCTAACCCAGGAAGCCTAAGCTACAGGGTATCCTTCTCCAATATCTTTAGATGGTGACAGAGATTCAAGAATGCCTCTACCAAAGAAGAGACAGAGTTCTAAGATCTGCATCCTCTTCTTCCTAGGGCAGACTTCCTGTTCACTTGCAATTTCCCCCAATTCTAGGCTTTATGCCGATTGTGTTTATGTTCATTTCCAGGCCCACTCAGACCTAATTCTTCTTTAGCCTGTAGGTTCATTTTAATTTCTGAGATTATTTTTTCCTGTGTCCAATTTACTTTATGAGCCAAGTTGCTCATTTCCTGCTGTTTGGTTTATAGCTGCTCCCTCTAAATGTTTAACAATGTTTATTAGCTCCTCCATTCTAGCAACTGATGACTGATGCATGGCCAGCTTTCAACTATTCAGAGGCTGATGCAACCTCTGAGGGAATGAAACAGGTTCTTGCAAATTCCTTCTCATTTGCTTTTCTCCCACATTCTCTCTTTTCTGGTTACTTCACTTTAGGGAATCCCTCATGCCATGTGAAAGGGAGGCAAAAATGATGGAAAAGAGTAGTTCATCCTTTTGTCAAGTGGCAATAGTGATGAGTTACTTTAAAAGAGGTTTAGAAAGACATTTTGTCTTTTTATGAGAATTTTAATTGTTCATGTTCTGTTCTCCCCAGTTAAAATGAGTATGAGGAAGTGTTTGTTTGTTTGTTTGTTTCTCCTAAAGTGTAATAAGACCAGTATCCTGCTTTCCCACAAGTAGCTCAGCGGCATAAGTGCCTGCCTGGCAAGCACAATGTCCCGAGTTCGATCCCTGGTACCAGAGATGAGAAGCACAGGAGAGGGAGTGGGGAAAGAGATTTATCTATGTATGTAAGCAGGATGGTTTGGACAACTTTACTGTTCATTTCTGCTTGTCTACAGAAAGAAACAGATAACAATTTGTTTTGTCTCCTTTATTCAATTATTTCTGCTTTTTGTCTTCTTAATTTCTTATACATTTCTTTCTTTTTTTCTTTCTTCTTCCAATTTTACATGCATATATCTGGTAATATAAATAACTTGTTGGAAGAAAACACTGTATTACAACAAATACTGTGAAATTCATATTACTTTTTTAAATGAAATTATCACATATTTTTTCTGTTTTAATTCTAATTTGTACTCTCTTTAAAAAATATATAAAAATGAGCAGTATTTCCCAATCTTCTGGAGTCTTACCCAGCTCTTCCCTTATATAAATAAGCGTCCTTATTATTCTGGCATTCCTTGTTCTATAACTCTGCATTTTACTAAAGCTTAGCCTCCTCTGTGTGTCTAATGTGCTATCTCAGTTTTGTTATTGCACTAAAAACGGACTGGGTCCCAAGTGATCTATAATGTAAGTTTGGAATTTTCTTAAAAATTACATTGTTCAGGATCTGTTTTCCCGGAAGGGCTGCTGAATACCTGAGGACCTCTGCACATCTACACAACTTTCACCTACACTTACTGTTTACACTAAACATAACAGACATAGCAACTTTACCAAAGGACATTTAGCTATTATTAACCCATTCATGAGACCAGAACTCCTCATTTACAGAGTGGTTATTCCTGATGAAATCAAATTACTTTTACCTTCCTAGAACCTAGAAGAAGTTGAGTGAATACTGTCTGTCCTTGGTCTTTGATCTTCTGAACTCCTTTATGTAGCACAAACAGTGAATTTCACTATTTGAGAGGCTTCTCTTCAGACTCCAGAGCTTCACTTAGTTATGCAGTCTTTAAGATGGTTGATTGCCTGTTTTTAACCTTCCAAACATATCTTACTGCAACCTTGAAAATTCATTTTGAACTGAACACATACTACTGAATAGATAGATAATTTTATATAATCCAATCTACCCAACTAAACTCCAACAGGTCAGGACACCTCTCACTTTTGTCAGCTCTGTTTTAGCTGTAACTGGGCATCCTGTAGTAACATAATTTAAGAGCCACACTAGGCTCGTACTACCTGGGTTTGCATCTCTACTCTGCTACTGAAACCACTTAACTGGCAATGTCAGAAGTTGTGGACTTGAGCCTTTCACAGCTCAGCATATTAATAAGGCTTTACTTTTTATACCTCGTTTTTATACTTTTCTGCTGGATGGCTAAGAGTAAGATAAAGCAAGACCTGTATAACAAGAAATGTAACTTTTGTATGTGCTGAGTTCAGTCAGTTCCCACTACCATTATGGACTACTGGACTATATTAGATTATTTTGCTGAATTCGCTCACCTACAATATTTAAATGGCAATGGAATATCCATCTCTGACAAAACTAAACAGAAAAAGGGGATACAAATGAAGGATCATTTTGTATCTGTATATACAAAATAGTTAGGATAGATACACAGCTACTTTCTCTTAATTAATAAGAAAGATTTGTACTAATAGTGTTTGGCCAGGATATATCATGTCTGCATCTTGTACTATGAATAACTACTACAAAGACAACCATATGCAATGTTTTAATTATTGCAACTGTTCCACTAATCAGTTTTGAAACTGTCTCATTGCTATTTGTTTCTCAATAAGATTTTTAAAAAACTGAAAAGAAAAAAAGAAAACCACTTAACTTTGGATGTGTCCTTTAACCTCTCCATATCTCAGCTCCTTATATAAAGAAAGTATCTAGCAAGGTTGTCATGCATATTAAATAAGCAAATCCATGTAAAGTGTTTAGAACAATGCCTGGCACACTGTTAAATATTTCACAAAAGCTAGCAATTCCAGTAAGAAGTGACAACAGAATAGAGACTCCCCTTAGTATTTGATGAGCTCTCTGCTCCTCTCTCCAATCCTTAATCATGCACCTCTGTGCTTCTCATTTTTGTGCATATGTAGGTCCCCACACTGATGATGGACACCCAGTTCTCTGAGTTCACACCAGACATCACTCCCATCATGTTGGCTGCCCACACCAACAACTATGAGATCATCAAATTGCTTGTCCAAAAACGAGTCACTATCCCGCGGCCTCACCAGATTCGCTGCAACTGTGTGGAATGTGTGTCCAGTTCAGAGGTAGACAGCCTCCGCCACTCCCGCTCCAGATTGAACATCTATAAGGCTTTAGCAAGCCCATCACTCATTGCCTTATCAAGTGAGGACCCCATCCTAACTGCATTCCGCCTGGGCTGGGAGCTCAAGGAGCTCAGCAAGGTGGAGAACGAGTTCAAGGCCGAATACGAAGAGCTGTCTCAGCAATGCAAGCTCTTTGCCAAAGACCTGCTGGACCAAGCTCGGAGCTCCCGTGAACTGGAGATCATCCTTAACCATAGGGACGACCACAGTGAAGAGCTTGATCCCCAAAAGTACCATGACCTTGCCAAACTGAAAGTGGCAATCAAATACCATCAGAAAGAGGTAAGTTGAGATCATCTCTACTTTCAAGGCAGCTTACAGCCTCCCGTCCCCTGAACAAAAGAGCAAGAATCAGCATTTTTCTACCACTTAGACTTCTAATAGATGAATTGACACGTCTCATAGATATGCTCATTCATCCAAGACCCAGGCTGCCTTTATGTGTTTTCTCTATGAACAGAAAAGTAGCCAACTGATTCTTTGATGGAAAAGCATTCACTCATTTATGGTTAGGATAAAAAGAGGCACTCACCCTGCCTTTGTGGAGCATACAAGTAGTATTGAACACTAAAGAAATGATCACTTTAGCGAATATATGATTGCAAACTCAGGTAAATATCCCAAAGGATAACACATAGCAACAGATTTTACCCTATAGAGAGAGCTATACATAGATGGTGATGAAGGAAATCTCACCATATACATGCTAGTGACTACTGGCCCAAAGGAGTCAGTCCCTGGCAGCCCTTTAACAAGAATACTGATCTATACATTTCAAAGATGGTTTCTCACTCAAGGTTTGTAGTTTTGTACATGGCAGAAGCAACAATCTACTACAGTGCGACTTCCAAACACAGGGTCCACCTTTTTGAGGGAGGCCAGTTCAAGGAGCTCACAGGATAGGATTTGGCTTTCCACTAAACCAGAGTTATCATCCAGTAAGTGCTGTTTCAAGCCATCTTATCAAATGCTTCTGGAGAGAGTTGTAGAAAATCTAATTTCTTGGAATTCGATCTCCAGCACAACATGCTGTGCCAGCCCGGGCACACTGAGCCCACTACCGAGACTGGGCATGGTGGTGCATGTCTGTAATCCCAGGGCTGGGGAGGCTGAAAACAGGAGAATCACTATAAGTCTGAGCTGTGTAGTGAGTCCCTGTACCAAATGCATTTTTTAAAAAAGAAAATCTAATTTCTATCTTTAAGGAAGTTCCATAGTATTGTAGTACCTCAGAAAGAGCAAGGGCTGAGTTGGGGCAACTGAAGATGGAATTCCTACCCACTAGCTGTGTGACCTGAGAAGTCACTCAAATTGCCAGGGTATTAATTTTTCATTTATGAAACAGAGTTAAAAATAATTTTCCCACTTCAAATGGCAATTGTGGGAAATGACAAAAGCTAATATTCAGTGCATGGCATGGGAAATGCTTCAATTTACATTTTCATATCTCTTCCATTCTACCATGAGTCAGAGCCAAACAAGTGGAACTGAGAGGTGCTGGCCAATTCAATGCTAACTACCAGTGCCACCCTTTCATGGATCCTGGATCCAGGCTCTGAAGAAAATCGCATATTATTTTGTGTATGTTCACCTGGAGGGAGGGAGGGAGGGAGGGAGGGAGGGAGAGAGAGAGAGAGAGAGAGAGAGAGAGAGAGAGAAATTTCCCCCTATTGAATCCATTCAAAATGTTCCCCTTTAAGATGCAGAGGTCACATAGTGCCAGAACCAGTGAAAAGGTGACAGTACTGTTTTGTGAGCTTGTCTTTCTGTTGGATGGCACTTGGCAGCACCATTCTTTTTTTTTTTTTTTTTTTCAGTACTGGCGATTGAACTCAGGAACCTGTACTTGCTAGGCAAGCACTTATTCTAATGAGCTATCTCCCCAGACCTCCATTCATGATTTTCGATCACATCTCATTAAGACACTTATGAAAGAGGACTTCAGTACCACTTCTGCAAGTGGCAAGATTATGGGCTATATTTTGAGGTGAGGGGAAGTATTTCGAGGGAAATTAATGCAAGGTTCATATTACAGTAGTAACTTTTTAAACATTCAGCATATATTTTAATCACACATGTATTCCATTAATGATACATATTAATTGCAATGTTTTTTCACTTTACATAAATTGGTAGCATAGTGTGAAAAAGAAATCACAGGTGCTCTTATAAAATGAACTGTTTCCTAAGTGACACACAGTTAATAGGAACAGAAAATTTTTTAAGATATTCAAAAATATGACTACTGCATTTCTCATTAAACTGGATATGAAATTTAACTGCTTTAGGCTTCACCCGTCATCATGAAAACTGAGAAAGCATTTATTTTCAAGATAATCTTCCAACTATTTTATGTAAGAATCTCTTCTGCTCATATAATTTTTCATGTATTTGGTACAGGGTCTACATCTACAGGGTCTACAGGGTCTCACTGCATAGATCAGACTCGTGGTAATCCTCCTATTTTCAGCCTCTGAAGTGCTGGGATTACAGGTGCAAACCACCACACCCAGTCTCAGTCACCCTCTGAGCACGCCTCTGGGGTGGGGCCAGCAAGGCAGGCTGGGGATCGAACCCCAGCTACTGCATCTGCCTAAGCAGGCGTTTTAGTCTGCTGAGCTATCTGGCCTGCTCATATAATCTTCAACCGCCACTTTTAGTTACTGTTCCATTTGGAAACCACCCTGATGACTTTTTCACTCCTATGGGGTTCTGTGGCATATGGACACAGAATCAACCTTGGCTTCTATTTGACTTCACCCCTCATTAACCTGCACATCCTTTTGCTCTTTTAGTCTTTTTACTGTCCTGAAACTATCCCCTTGATTCATTTTTTTTTTCTGATTATGGCTATCATAGAGGATTGTCATGTTACTATGTGGTCATACAATATGCTTCCTAGTCATCATTATACCAACCTGAATGTGTCAAGCAGATGTATTTCTTTTTACCCTCAAAATTATGCATCAGGAAACCCCAAAATTGTTTCCTGGAGCCATCTGATGAATACATTAAAGTGGGAGGAGTCATTCTATTGTGGTAAAATATATCTTTTAAAAAATGTGCTATCTTAATCATGTTTACAGTAGCATTAAATCCATTCATGTTGTGCAACCATCATCACTAGGATTCATTTTTGAAGATGGGTAAGTGTTGGGGTGTCTTCACTACTGAACACACTCAATCAGTTTCATATTTTGCAGAGCACATTACTTTTGTAAAACTGGTAAAGGAGCATGTATTCCCCATTCAAACTTATAGTCATCAGTAATACAAAATTTAATAATACTGAATTTATGAAAAGATCAACAATGTCTGGCTCTTACGTTAATACAAATAACTTCCAAGTAACTTTTGGAAGTAGGAGCTACTTTTACTTTTTGTTAGAAATGTTCTATTAGTTGGTTGGTTTGTATGCATTATACAGATGGAAAAAAAGTTTTAAATGTGTTGGAGAGAAGAGTTCCTGAGAAAACAGAAAGTTCACTTAAGAGGAATTGCTAGATATTTCTGTTCTAGGAAGATAAAGTTATCTACAGAAAACCACAATATTCATCCTACATGATGTAAAAAAAAATAATTGTAATAAGCAGGCCGGGGAGATATGTGCTTCCCTGGCAAGCGCAAGGGCCTGAGTTCAATCCCTGGTTCCACCAAAAAAAAAAAAAGAAGAAGAAGAAAAAAATAAATAAATAATAATTGTAAGAATCTATTTGGGGGGCTGGTGAGATGGCTCAGTGGTCTAAAGCACCTACTTAGAACAAGCTTAGCAAAGCACAGGGACCACAGTTCAATCCCCCAGCCCCATATGCCAGCCAGCCCCGTCCCCGGTGGGCTGAGCTGGCCACACACACACACACACACAAAAAAAAAATAAATTTAAAAAAAAGAATCTATTTGGATCATGGTGGGTTAATAATATTCAGTTACATAAGTCCCTCAAGAAAAGCAATCTTAGTGCTCAGGATATAGCTCAGCACATGCCTGGCAAGTACAAGGTGCTAAGTTCGATTCCCAGTACCAAAAAACCTCACAAAATCAATAGTTTGGGCTAGCCAGATAGTTCAGCAGACTAAAGCAACTGCTTAGGTAGAGTGCAGTGGCAGGGGTTCAACCCTCAGCCTGCTGTGTCGGCCCTGCCTCCAGGGTGCACTGAGACAGCAATTGAGACTGGGCGTGGTGGTGCACGCCTGTAATCCCAGCGCTTGGGAGGCTGAAAACAGGAGAATCATAGTCTGATCTACGTAGTGAGAACCTGTAGACCCTGTACCAAATACATAAAAAAAGAAAAGCAATCATAGCCTTAAAGGGAATATAACTTATAATTCCCTGAGGAGTTTTTTCCTTGTATTTCCTCGCTCTTACTATTAGAATTCAAATTGGCTCCCCCCCAAAAAAACCTCAATTTGATGAAAACTACGCTGAGAATGAAACAAAAGCTGATTTCAAACTATATATAACTTCAACATTACATATAATAAGCTCTAATCTCTTAGAAAATGGGTGTAAAACTAATGGATAATCTTTACATGTCAAATAGACTTTTAAGTGTTCTCATACAGACATTTCTCAGATATCCATGAAAAGTCCCTAATCTGTGTACAGGAGCTGGTTTATTGTCAGACATACCAAAAACCAAAAACTGTCATTTCATTTGTTTCTCTTTACCATTGAAGATAATCAGAAAAATCATCATAACCCTTATTTTTAAAAGGATAAAGAAGTATATTCAGAGGTTTGCTGCAGACCATCTGCCAAGCCAGACGTAGAATATCAGGCTGTGATACAAAATTCTGATTACACTCTACTACCTTCTGTGGAGTGGAGTTACTTTATGTCTGCTTAGTAGCTTCAAAATTCACCACCAAGTAATTTAAGATGACCACAATCTCTTTCCTTTGCCATGAAATTTTATTAGTTAAAATGTCTTAAAATTGAACAATAAATGGTTTCAACCAATGTTTATTAAAGAATTATAAACAATCATAATCTAGTAACCAGAAGTAGTCATTGCACACGAAAAGTTATGCAAACATTTAGGATAAAAAAGATATCATATAGGGTTTGTTCCTAAGCAGGTTTATGAACCAGCCTATTTTTATCTAACATAAGTACAGGAGTGTGTAGCCGAAGTGAATATGGATGAAGGTGTGTGCTATTACCTAAGTGCCATCTACCATCGTATTCCCCTTGGGTTTAACACCTTCAAGCTTGTCTAGAACAATAAGCCCCTCTACCTCTCTCTTCTTCCATTCCATATAACAACTGGCTGTGGCACTAATCTCATCCTGAAAAGGGCTAGTCTGAATACACGACAAGCTTCTCCCTCTCTCTTCTCTTGGAGGAGATTTAGAATTTGATCAGCAGGGTTCAATCAGTGGGCTATGTTACCACTTCTCCCTCAAATAGTGTTTAGATTTGTATCAATGTTTTAATGTTTGCTAAGTTGCATAAGATAAAAATAGGTTGGTTCATGCACCTGATTAGGAACAAATCCTATACAAAGGCTTTCTACCCCAAATGGTTGTATAACTTTTCACAATTTATCAATGTTCGACTTGTTCCTAAAAACATCCCACACATAGTTTTTATTCTTAAGTATTTTTCTAAACTTACTATTATTAATTGTTTCTAATTCTGTTCCAAAAGCAAACATTAATAATACAATCCCTCTCAAGTAGGATTATATCTTAATAATTCTTTAACAATCAAAATAAGTACTGAAGTATGCCTAATCCCAAGGTGCCTGCATTACAGTGCAGTCTTTCCAGGAATCCTGTTGTATAAGAGGCAAGCCAGATCCATATACTATGAGGTTGTAGCATCTTCCTGCTTGGACTCCTAAGGACTGTATTACAGCTTTTTTACAGGCTGGTTCAAGTCTTCTTTCAAGGTCTGGAGTAGTGTTACAGATTTCTCCTGTTGTTATTTTAATGGCCAGCTTGAGTAAGTAGAGTTGCTTAAGTTTTCTCACAACACCCTAGGAGTCTTAACAAGCCCACTGAAATCCACATTCTAGAGTTCTACTTGAACAAAAAGCTACCCTTCAGTAACTAATCATGTTTGAGTAACAGAACATTCTGAAGATCTTTTCAGGCAGATAGTGACTCTTCAGTACCTATCATGCTTAAGAAACAGAACATTCTAGACTTCTACTTAGACAGATAGCTATCCTTCAGTATCTATTGTGTTTGAAGAACAATATGTCTTTTTCCCAGTTAAATTGCTCATTAAATAGAACTTACACCAGACTAATGGTCTCTTTGAGTGTTTCCTGAACTTGTCCAGATATTTTGACACAAATTATAGCTCAATTCCCTAAAATCCAAATTCCCAATGGGGAGTGTCTATCTTCCCTGGCTATCATAAATTTTAATTAAAGGATAGATTCTATCTCTTTAACTTGGGTCATGTCCTTTGTTACTATATTTACTCAATGTAAGAATACTACATTATCACCAAGTGTATGGATGTCCTTGTTTAACTGCTATTGGTGAGATTTGTAAACTATTCTCATTCGGATGGATGGATCGGTTGATCCTTTTAGTTTTCTCACTGTCCTACTTAGGTTACTTTGGCATGATCCTTTTGCAGTGCAAAAATTATATGCCATTTTGAACATAACTGTGTATCTATAGACTGGCCAGTGTAAGGTTTAGTTTGTTCAGTTATTGTAGCAGTAAAGTTTTACAATCTGCTGCTCAATATGGCTTCTAAATTACCCACAGTCATTGTTTGAGGAGACTATTTTGTTTTCCCTACTGGTGCCTTGTTTGCACCTCCCAGACTCTTGGGTCCCCATATATTCTCATCATTATTTCCACACAGCTAGATGTCTTTCATACTAATATGTGAAACAGCTCTATGCGTTCTAATTTTTCTAAAGGATTTATGGTAGCTTTTCTGGATGTAACTAACACTTTTTAAATTTGTTACATCACTTTATCCTGAAAGTCAGTGGCCAAAATGATTCATGTTTCTCCTGCTATTACTCATCCAAGTAAGACCTGGGTACACACACTAGTTCCCCTCATTTATCTTTAAAGTAGCTCATTGTCTATATATGCAGACCTCACTTAATACTAGATTCAACCTCTGCCACGTGGTTGGCCTTGGAGTCATCTATATTAGACTCCACTGCAATTCTTTTGACTGTAATATGCTCTAGGACTCTATACGTCACTGTGGTCTCATTCCTAACAGTGTAGATTGCCTTCTAAATCTCACTTCCTCATAATCTGCATGCACCACATTGTCGATGGTATAGCTTTATATATTTACATAGTTTGTTAGCTATGTTATGAGATTCAGGCCATAATGTCCATGAGTTTTGCCTGAAGGATAGCTATTCTTCCAAATAGAAGTGAAAAGGACGATTTGGCATGAAATTGATATAATCAATGAGTTTCCTTCACATTTGTTCCCTCTCTGGTTTGACATGAGAGTGGCTTCCACTACTGCATTTTCTCCTTCTGGTATATGGAGAATTATCATGACTAAATACCAGACCTTATTTTGTTTACATTCATTACTAATCTTACTCGTTAGTAAAAGAAAGTATTGCTAGGTTGAAGCTGTAGCAGATCCACTGTAACGAGCCTACTATTTATTTTAAATTCAGTTATATGCAAAAAGATATACTCTATCTACTCCCCTTTGCAGACCACCATCTCTAGCACATGCCTTCCACTGATGAACAGTCTTTGTGGAGCTTTGTGTAGGCATTCTACTACTTCTGTTATTTGGTACAATGTTCCGTTTCCATTTGGGGAACGATACTGCAAAGTAGTTGCGATGTAAATCAGCATTTGTAAGAACAGTTTTGCACTGGAATCTCTTACCCACAGCTTTTTCAAAGGTTTCTCTCATAACATTCATCTGACTTTCCGTCTGTAGTTTATTTGGCAGATGTTGTTCTTTCACAAATATCTTCCTTAGTCTGATATAGTTGTCTTATTTGTCAAATGTTCTCTTAAAGATCCAGCAAGGGAAAGTATCCTAAAACTGTCCTGCTAATGTCAAGACAGTCACTGTAGTATCATCAGCGGGTTGTTCCCTTTTTAATTTTTTCATTATAGAACAGTGAAACTGAGTCACATGATGTGAGAGATCACAGGGTTTCATTAGGTTGAAGACATACTTTCTTTGTCATTATTTGGCCTATCATAAGGAATCTTAACAGAAGAGCAGAAGTAAAGGAACAGCCATATTGCTAAAGTCAGAGCTTTCTGAATAACAAAGAAAATACCAGCATTTACTGGAAGGAAAACAAATCTTACTTGCTGTATAAATTTCAACAATAAAAATGTGTAACTAATGTCTAGAAAACTCAGAATATGTTTGAAACAGAGAACTGAGTAGTTCTCACATGTTGGTGGTAGAAATTTGGGACTTACTCCTCTCTAAAATTATTGCTGATATCAGGGAATAAATCCTCATTTATATCACCTGCATCTAACAAAGCTTGATCTATATCAAGGACTAGTTCTTCATCTTCTCTTAGTGAAAGTATTGATTCTAAGTCAGAGAAATTGGCAAGATCTGGTAGCGAGACTTCATCTGGAGGATCTGGAGGAGGTGCATTGGCTTCTGCCTGTTCGGCTCCATTATTCTCTTGTAAAGGAGGAATTCGCTGCTCTTGTGAAATAAAGCGTAAAATTTCTTCAGCAATTCTTATTAACTGGGCCACACAATCAATAAGTCCACCAACTAGTACAGGCACTGGCACAGGGTCCATGCTTCTATTCTCTCAGATAAAATACTACTAAAGGCTGCAGCAAATGAGCTCTTGATGACTATAGATCCTGTGGGACCAACAATGGTTCTTTGGCTGTTTTAAATGAGAAGTGAGTGATGTAAATATGATGGTGATCAAATATAGCAGCAGGCCAGTGATACTACAGAACTTTTTGATGATGTTGATTAACTTCTCACAAAATACAAAAATAGTGTTCTTGTTTATTATAGTAGCAAACTGCTGTTATAATGACCATCAGACAGACTGTCAAAGCCAAGAGAAAACAGCAAAGCTGACCTAATAACAAAACAGAGAAAAGCAATGATTAGCATCCTTGAGCTTTTACTGATCCTACAGCTCCTAGCTATAGGATACCCCTATCAAGAGTGGTCCACCAGATTAAAAGGGAATCTGTAGGTATTTTTTCTCACTTTTTGATGTATTTTGATGATCTATCACCTCTCTTCCCTTTGAACTTCTCATGGTCTTTATCTCTCATTAAGGACTCTGAGAACAAAGTGAACACAGGCAGTATGGTAAATGAAAGTCTCACATGTTGTGTCTTTGTCCAAACTTTGAACAACTGAAGTTATAAAATTAGTGCTTTTTTTGTTTTCAATTTAGTTCCCATTTTCCATATCTAGAGGTTAGTTCTTCCAGCTTTGTCTAAGGTCATAATGTACTATTTCCATCTGCATGTCTGGTGGGCTCTGCATATGAACTTCTTTAAGAAAATATTGTTTTAAAATCTAAGGATCAGCCCAGTATAAGCTACCTGCCCCATTTGTCTGCCTTAACCTTTAAATGGATTCATTCCCCTAAAAGTGGATTCACTGAAGATATAAAGAGTTATTAATAACTTAACATAGCGCACACTGTCTACTCACTTTTTTGTATGATTCATGGTCCTTTTACTGTCTCACATACCTTCCTACTACATTTATGTCCATATACCCTGAGGTTTCACATGTCCTTTCTATGACCTTAAATTGAACTGACAAGAGAGCTAGCTCAGTTGCAACCCAAGGCTTGATGGCCTACATTCATTTGGGAGGAGGCAGATGTTCTCCTCCCTCATTCAAATGGGTAATTTTGTCTTTCCAGTCTAATAAGCTGATTCATGTCCTACATGAATTGCTAAAATCTTTTCATTAATTTATTTTCACATCTCCCTTCACCATTTTATCCAGAAATAGTCTAGTCTATTATTTTCCATTCATTAGATTATATATCTCTAGTTCATAACTAATCAGTGTGACTATATACCTTTGGCCATTTTTTTCTTCAGCATACCTACCTATTAAATTTCTGAGTTGCTATGCTATAAACTGGGCTGCCTGATGTTCTCTGACTTCAGTTAGGCTTTTCTTAGTGGAGAATTTTAGAAAGTAACGATCTAACTCACTCTTTTAGGTTACCTTCGTCCTATTATTGCCTAGTTTTCAGCTGTTTTGACCACAGGGAGGTCCAGTAATCCAGAGGCTTCAGCTCCAGCTATCTGTACTACCTAAATGTTTACTGGAGTACAGCAAGTCAACAGCCAGTTAGTGTGTGACTTAAACATGGAGCTGCCTGGTCCCATCCCACTGGACCTATTTTAATTCACTCAGTTATGTAGTATCTCCAGTTAGAGTATGTTCTCTCAGATCACTCTGTTTGGGGGCCCAAAATCCTACCACTTCCCACTATGTTTACTGGCATTTTTGTGTTATAGCACTTGAAACCAGGTCATATATTCTTGTATTTTGTTTTCTGTTTCCTACCCTACTATGATTATTTATATGGACAAAAGTGTGTCATAAGATTAAAAACTTGTTTGGCTTTCCATTGTGTCTCTAGAGAAGCATGATGGGCATGTGGTAGGTAATCCATGCCCTTGAATGAAGAGAAAAAAAGGAAGGAAGAACAATTTTGATTTTTTGGTTTTTGTGGGTTTTTTCTGCAACAGTCTTGCTCTGTAATTCAGGCTAGCCTTGAACTCACTATGTAGCCTTGGAATCATGGCAATCCCCCTGCCTCAAACTCCTGAATCTAGGATTGCAGGCACGTGCCTCCATGCCTAGCTGAGAACAGGAACAATTTTTAGCACATTCACCCAGTAAACATAATAAAGCTTCAACCATATGTGGCAGCAGCAGTGTGCAAAAAAGTGAACTAACATCAAAAAAATGTAGCTGATAAAAATGAAGAGGCAGAAAATGAGAAAAATGGGCCAGGGAGATATCTTAGTTGAATAAGCACTTGCCTGGCAAGTGCAAGGTCCTGAGTTCAATTCCCAGTACCACGAAGAAAAAAAAAAAGAAAATGAAAAAAATATTAACAAAAGATATACAGTATCTAAGAAATTGCAGTCAGACTATGTAAAGACCTCTACAATTAATAAAAATGCAAACAATCCAATTTTTAAATGGGCAAAATCTATAAACAATAATTTAAAAGATGAACAGGTAATACACTAAAATTAGACTAACAACACTAAATGTTGACAAAGGTACAGAACATCCAGGATTTTCACACGCTGCTGTTAAGAGTATAAATGCCTAAGAATTACTATTTATTCTGTAAAGCCAGAATAAACGTATCTGAGTCTTGAAAACTCTCTTCCTAGATATTTACCCAAGAGAAATGAAAGTTCACCAGAAAACTTTGCAAGAATAATTATAATGTCTTTATGTATAATACCCAAAAATGCAGAAAAAAGACCGAGAGGACAATAAAAACAAGCTGTGGTGTATTGATTCACTGGTGACACTAATCACCAATAATAATGGTACTACTTATAGGAACAAATACATAGAAGAATATATTTTATTTTGGAGGGGAGAGGGTACTGGGGATCGAACTATGGACCTTGTGCTTGCCACACAGGAACTTATGATGCTGAGCTATATCCCCAGCCCCAGAAGAATATTGAAAACGTTGAATTTAATGAAAAAAGCTAGCCTCATAAGAACACATACCATATGTTTCCATTTAGATACAACTGTAGAAAATGCAAAATAATCTATGGTGGAAAAATATCAGAATGAAGTTTGCATCTAGGTAATGAGGACTGATTGAGAATGGGTGTAAGGGAACTTTCTTTTTTTCCCATAATTTTATTGAGAAACAAATAGCAATGAGACAGTTTCAAACCAAATTGGTACAACAATTTCAATAATTAACACGTTGCATACATTCTTCCTAGTGGTTAATTGCTGTACAAGATGCAGGCATGATATCCTATTTACAAACACCATTAGAACAAATCACTCTATTAGTTAAGGGAATGTAACTATGTATCTATTCTAACCACTTTGAATACACAGATACAAAATGGACATTCATTTGTATACCCTTTTTTTAAGTTCTGTTATTTGAATATTATAGGTGTGTAAACTCAGCAAAATATTCTAAGAGAGTCCAGTAGCCCATAATAGTATTGGGTCTTCCGCTTCACTGGCAATGTCAGAAATTGTTGACCTGAGTCCCCTACAGCATAGGTCCTGCTTTACCTTGGTCTTAACCATACAGCAGAAAAGTATAAAAACGAAATATAAGAAGTAAAGTCATGCTGTAAGGGAACTTTCAAGAGTGACAGTAGTAATATTTAAATTGGATTCTCAGTTATAAAGAGCTATTCATTTGTCAAAACTCTCTTAAAATGTGTACATTTCACTCTATGCACATTTTAATATCCTCAAAAGTAAGCAAACATAAGCCACAGCCTCAAAAACTGTGCATCAGATGAGGCAATGTGTCCTAATTTTCTAATAAATATATTTATGGATGAACTATGGTGTCCCACAATGAGAATTCCATTTTTATATATTGCTACATTTAATCTTCACAATGACATAACTCTGTGAAGTTGTGGGTGGGAAGACTGAGGATCAGGGGGATTAAGTAACTTTCCCAAGTTCCGTGGTCACGTAAAGATGCAGAGCTGGAGGTCAGCTTATGTCTACCCTCCAATGCCCTAGGTCAGAGGATACAAAGTGAAGTGTGAGGATCGTCCGCAAATGGGCTATAAAGGAGCAGCACCTACACTGCGTTCTCCTAACCAGGAAAAGGACTGAGAGTGTTAACCACATTGATGGCACTACGAATTCTAAGTTGAGTGTTACTAACGCAGAGGGATGGAGAGCTGCAGCAGGCCCCTGGGGAATCCCTGCCATCTGTACCAGGGAGGTTCAGGGATGTGTCCACCACCTGCCCTCTCCTGACCTACAAATGGCCCTAAACACTCCGAAACTCCTCACCTGTGATAGAGCCAAGATGGATGAGAAGGTCAAGGCTGTGCCTATACGATGGTATCTGTTCTTCTGCTTTCAAATAGGATGGGAACACTTCTGCCCAATTAATCCCCCTAAAAAAAGATAAATTGCATAATTAATAGGTTTAAGGGTATCATCAAGATGTGGAACAAGACATAATGTACCAAAATTTCAGAGATCAAACAGCCCTTTCTTTTTAAATTTTGGCTTTTTTATTTTAATCTTTATTTTATTAGCACATATTGGTAGTGCATGAAAGTTTCCTTCATCTTGGGGAGTAGGTACATGTGCATAGCACACCTTGTTTCATTTTTCATTCCCCTTCCCTTCCATTTCCCTCCATCATCTCTAAATCTCCATTCCCTGTTTATATTTTCTTATTATCCTTAACTCACATTTATAACATACCATGTGGATATTTGGGGATGCATCTTTTGTAAATTGGAAGGGTTCCAGGATACTGAGGGTGAGGGGATAGGGAAAGGGGAAGAAGTAAGAATTAAAGTATGCCATGTACAGGTGCTGAAGAGCCCTTTCTACCTGAGCTGAGAGTTACAGGCAAGTCTTCTTCCTTATAGCATTTGCTAATTCTGAGCACAGGCTGAAGATGAAACTTGGCCCTAAGGTAAAGGGAGTCCACTGAGGAAAAGGAGAAATCAGCATGTATTTGCTAGTTGCAGGAAGTTACCATAAATGGGACTGAACATTGAGAAAGCCACCTGGGTTTTCTTACCTGAAACTAGT